TTTTTTTTTTTTTTTTTTTTTGCAAAGGAAAGTCTATGACAACTTCATTTACTCCAAGCTCTTAACTTTTTTTTCTCGTCTCTGTGTAAAAGTGAATTTGAACTGTATAGCTCCAGCTGCCCTGAAACAACATCAGATTTGACAGTTTCGTTCACGTAAACTGACCACTTCCAGTTCATGTTGGTGCAAATTTGCACCATAATATAGACTAACATATGTAAATGCATCACGCAAAACGTTTTGTTTTAACAAATCAGAACTGGGATGTGTTATAAAATTAGTAAAGAGAAAGTTTATAACTGGCGTCCTGTTTAACTGTCTAATAACTAAAAGTTCATCCATGCTTTCTAACCAAACAATGACAAATAATCCTAATCCAAAGGATATATTACTATCTTTGTTGCTGCAACATGGTTTTCAGCTAGCTCAATTTACTAACTCTTTGCAGTGCAGTTTAAGTTTATGGCAACTACATCCACTTCTAAGCCTCTAAACTGACTCAAATGTACATTTCACAGGTGTGCAAGTCGCACCTTTGATGGTATGCGGTACTTGAGTTCAAATTAATCCCCTCAATGAACTTTAGGGGGGTTTTGCGTATTGCTTGACTTCCTGTGTAATAGCAGCAGAATGTAAATAAAAATTACAGAAATATCACAAACAATGTAGGGAACAATTAGATAACACCAAGAGTTACACGGTAAACGTTTCTAGTTCACGGTGTCTGTCAGAGCATGTAAGAGCTAATATTACATTAAGGATAGTTAATGCATGTACACAAAGGATAAATCCATGAATCCATGTTGCATATATTTAGAACTTTGAGAGCTATATGTACTATCATGGATGAACAATAAAAACGTTGGTTATCCTCTGACAGTTCCTCTAGCGCCACCACCTGATCAAATTAATTCTCTCCCAGCTCTGCTGTAAAATGTTAGTATGCTAGCATGCAAATGTTAGAAACGTATTCAATAAAGCGGGCACTATGTTAGCATTCAGCCACCCACTAATGGTGCCACCTTTGATCAGTTATTGTAGCTGTAGACAACTGCACTGCATCTCAAATTGTGTACTTTACACTTTTGCTGTCAAATTGTTGTCAGCGACCAATCATAGTAACAGTAGTGGTCAGTATCATAATAGGGATAGTGAAATTAAAACAGTCCAAATGTTGAGAATACTCAATACTTTTAAGTAGTCGCCATGTTAGCTAGGTAGCAAAAAAGATGGAACCACAAACTCATGCCAAAGTTGTTAACTAGCTAAAAGCACCATATTTTTATTGGGCCTTTATGCTAAATGGCTTGTGGTATTGTTTTATGTTTAGCTGTGTTGAATTGTTTCTGTCACTGTTAAATGTATTGTTAGAAGACTAGAAAGTTTTAAATTTTAGCAGTTAGCATTACAGTCACAACCAAAAACTGCAAACAAGAAACAAACACTAAGTACTGTGTTTGATTTATGACTACCATGCCGAAAACACAATCACATACATAGTGTTACATGAAAAACTCTTTGGGTCTTGTTAAAGGTTTAGTTTTTGACACCTGAAAAAAATGTCTTTGGTTAACTGTGGTTTTGTTATAGAAGGGTTAGGTCAAGGAAGTGGGTGGATTTTTATTTAGGTTTTGTTGTAACTGTAGATTTAATGTTTAATACTAGCAGCTAGCACATAGTGAGTGTAATGTTCAGTTTGTGACAACACATTTAAAAGATAATAGCTTTTCATTTCTAAACGATCTGCTTATTTAACAGGGCTGAAGCAAAATCAAACCTTAACCATTGATGGGTCACCTGATTTCATGTTTTGTTCTACATCATAAAATAGATACAACTATTCTGTAATCACCCAAACTCCTGGATTTTGAAGCCACTACATGTGCCAGAGAAGGTGTGATGGTCATCCTCAACATTTTCACAGCAAATACAGGAACTCCGTAATTCTACAACAGTTTGTCAACAGTTTGTTAGTGTTTCATTAAAGTGTAAATCATCTTGCAAAAAAACATGGAAGTATTCCCACAGCTTAATTTCTGCAGTAACATCCAAGAAAAACCCTGTGGCTACATCTTAAAGGATCCAGGTGTTAACATCAAGGTTGGCCAATGCATACACGTTTTACTAACGCGGAGTCTTGAGCAATCAGCATTAGCTCAGCACTGCACCACAGCTAGCCATAGTTTAAAGCTCTAGATTCCCAACCTTGGGATTAAGACGAGACCATAAAACATTACAAAAATTAAATATGGGGCATAATAAATCTAATAAGGGATGAGAGAAAGAATAAATACTGGATATTTTAACCTCATTAAGCATCCAAATGTCCTTTGAATCAAACTTGATAGAAAAGTAATAACTTTTTTTTTATCACTACTGCATCTTCACTCGATATACGTATAAGGTTCAGGTGTACAATAGGAAGTTAAAGAACATCTCTATTATTTATCTAGAAAATATTATCTGAACATCATAAAATTATGCTGGTATGAAACAAATTGCTACCCACCACTGGAGACCTTTTTTTTTTTTTTTTTTTTGTAAATTGCATTAACATCTGGGGGAACCATCAGATTACTTCCTAATCATGTGACACACAGCCTATAGACATATAGAGTCAGCAGACATATATAAAAGCAGTCCAGGGTCTATCGATATCAACCCGATCAATGCTGTGGTCGTGCCCTGAGCTCCTCTTCATCGTCAGCTGCAGACGACAGCTTTCTGACATTTTTAAAATGGCCTAAACGTTTGTTTTCCCCGATGGCTGATTGTCCTCTGGTATGAAGCTCAGAGCGCTGGGGAGTGTAGAAGCCAGCGATTTGTCCCGAAACCTCCTCAGCTCTGCATCAACTTGAATTTAAACCGAGTGACTGAATGAGGCCGCGATGAGTCCGAGTTCCTGTTTCAAAGAGACAAGAAACAAGATCGGTGTTTTACATGTCAGTCGTTGAGCAGCCTTTGGGGAATTAAAACTTTGGCACCACAGCCAGAAAAACAATAACAATAAATAGGTAAATTTATGCTTTACATAACAAATTAGTGATTACTTTTTTCTGCTGTAAATCTTGAAACAGGTTTTCTTTCCATATCAGGACATCTACCCTCAAACTTTCCCGGATTAGGACCAGTTTTACCCTACACTGTTAACGAGCCCTGTAGATTACCACACGATGGGCTTTCTTAATTGCCTTTAATGGCTTGATTTGTTTACCCGATGGTTTTAATTGCTTCTTAATGGCTTCATTTGTTTTAATATTTTTGCAGCACTTTGGTCGATGTGACATATCAATAAACTCTCTCGATTTGTGGTCCATCGTTTACAAAATCCACAAACTTACAGTCAAAGAAGGGAGATTTATTAGCTGTCCCTATCATCGCTGTAGCTTAATGTCCCCTGTAATTATTCATGTGGGTTTGGGAGAGCTCCAGACACCAAGATGTATTCAGTGCAGGTTTTGTTTTCAATATTCATGGAACTCAAAGCCAAGTCTCAGCGTTGAGTTTTCTTGTCATTCAGTTGTGGTTTCTCCTCCATTAATATTACAGAAAATTGGTACTTTCATTATTTATATGAAACAAACAGCAGTGGTAAGTTTAAGTTTCAGGGGAGAAAAACTGGAGCTACATTACACTACCAGGCTTTTTTTTATTTATTTTGAGATTTCATATAAATAAAACTGAAATCAACAGATTACAAAAGTATTTAAGAATATAATTTAATTAAGTTAATTAAGCAGTTAAGTACATCCACTTCCAGAGCCCTGTAAAATAAATATTTTTCCAGTAACTGTGGATCCAAAATGCTGCTTTCTGCCCTCAAACTTCTCCGGTGTTGCAGTTAATCTCAGCAGTAAACTCTTCAGCCTTTTCAAGGGTTTAGAATCTCTTTCTAAACGTACACAGAGTGATGTAGGAGCCGGCACAGCAGAACAAAGACTTTAAGGCATGTGACCCTGGTGGAGGCTGCAAGCCGCTGTCGTGGTTTATCTTCCTCTGAAAGCCTTTCAGAGATGTGGTTTCCAGGGTTTTTCTTGTTGGGGGGAGATGCTCTGAAATTACCTCGCAGCTTTGTGGCGACTCAGACCCCGAAAGAGGATCAGAGAGGAGGTAAAAGGTGGGCTCAGGACAGTTTGTACTAAACAGCAGCGTCAGGTCAGGGTTTAGTCGTCCTCCTTTGGGAGGTTTAATTACTCACTGGTCATCTGCCTAAACACACAGCAGCTTTAAACCAATCGGGGGTTTAGACTAGCAGGACAGATTATCTTACTGTGATTATTTTATCGTGCTGTAAAGGCGTACACAGGTGTTCGTGTTTGGGTTTAGAGCTAATCTCACACTGGGAGAAGGAGGAGGAAGGTCTCTGCATCATCTGATAACACTACCACTTCTTAATCAGCTCCACTTTACACAATGAAGTCCTGCTGAGTGTGCATCATGTTCTCTCCTGGCTGCAGCACACGAGTCTACATGAAGGACACAAACCAGTCCCCTCTCACCTGTGGTGGTGTTCTCATGTGCCGTCCGATCCTTTATATTCTCTTAACTGGAAAGGGCTGGGAGGGAATAGCCGTCTTTGTGTCTGCAGAGAAAAGAAAAAGCGGAGAAAATGAGGTGGGCAGGTATGAAACTGCAGCTACAGCAACTCTGCACATGCACCAAAATCAGCCTCTGTCCTGAAGCCACAGATATCAGAGAAGATCTGCAAATACTGCAAATGTTCGAAAGACCTGCAGAGGAAAGAGAAAAAAATTACCTGGACTGTCAGCAGATTAGACCAAACAGACTATTTATTTAACTCCTGTGAGAAGCACCTCGAGCCTGAACCTGACTGATTTACAACTTTCCACTGCGGTTTATCTGCATGTAATCAAACGGTCCCTCCTTCACAGCCGAGGCACAAATGAGCAGACGCTCAGCTCCTGCGAGTACAAAGCTTCAGACATGCAATGTTTTTATTTTCAACCGCAGAACATGCATTTTATTTAATGACCAGCTCAGCTGTTAATCAAACTGAGCGTGTCTCTCTCTGCAGTGTGATTTGGTTTCATTGCTACTCAGATCAAACATGAAGCTTGATTTGAAGTAAAAACTCTCACTTCTCTTTTACTCTATTTAGGCAGCATCATCCAAGGGCAGCATACAGCCATTTGAAACACATTTAAGTCATAATCTAATGAATTTGTTAGGTTTTCTAAGTTTTTATTACTATGATATGCAAATTAAACATTTCCATCTGAAATATTAAGTTGATGCTGTGGAGTCCACTGAATCTTGTTGTTAACGGATGACATATAAATCCTGCTTCCAGTCCAAACTCCTACTCCGTTCATTAAGGCTGTTGTCTTTATAACGCATTTTAATGCTTAATATTTTATTATATTTAATCTGAACACGTTTTAATCCCTCAGTCAGAACACTGTGTATTCCAGTTTGGACCCGGAAATGGTTAATGACGCCTCAGGCACAAAGTCCTAGGGACTGGCCCAGTCGTTGTAGGAGGCTGGTTGCAAAGAGACATATTGTGCTGCACCAAAAACCTCTCTGTGACTGCTTGGGTGGGCAGTAGATGGCTGTGGTCACTCGTAGTTTGCATGGAAAACGCAGACTAGTCTGCAAACACTGGCTCACTGCTCTCAGAGTGTAAGTAACACTTGGAAAATTAAGACACAAAGACGAAGCAGAAAATGTTCTCCTTCAAAGTAAAACTTTGGAATGCTTTGGCTGTAGTGGTGAGGCACAACTTTTATTTTGAAGGCCAATGTTCCCCATTTCCAGTTTTCACAGTTTACTACTTAACATTATTCGTTTGCATTAGAGCCCTCTTGCAGTAAAAGAGAAAATATATAAAATACATAAATAAATACAATCCATCAATAAACCAGGGTGGCATAATAATGTCTTGCACAGCTTTACTATCTTATGTGCATTTGGTCTAAAACACAGGAAATATTTCTGTCTTTGCAACTTGGTGAGTGTTTGCAGAAGTCAGCGTATTTCATGGAAACTGTGGACAACTGTGGTAATCTGCGAGTGACCAAACCAATCACAAGGTAGTTTCTGATTCAGCACCGTATCTTAGCAACCAATTTTACCTAGCAACTGCCAGCAACTATTTGCCAACCAGTCAGGGAATAATACATTAGCGACCAGCAGTGACCAGGGTTCACTGGTCTCTAGGCCTGTGTGACTGGGCCTTTGTTAAAGTCACGTGAATAGTGGTCTAGTTAGTGGACAGCAAAACCTGAATATACACTGGTCTTGCAGTTGCACAGTAGCATCATATTGCAGGATAATGGTTTGTACACAGTGTGTACGTGCGAGCTGTTTCTGAGGTTGCACAGAGGTACTCTCATCTTAAACTAAAGAACTAATTACACTGAGTTTCTTTATGATCTTTCTTCATTCTGTTCTGGTTCCAATATCAAAGAGCGCTTGTCTCGTGTTGCTGTTTAATTGCAGTTTGGCAGCAACAACGTCACTATTTCTGGCTTTCTATTTCAAATCTGGTTCTGGCAGGACTCTGAAGGTAAACCGTTAATGTGAATTTCTCTGCATTTAAGCAGCATCAGATTAGCAGTTTTTACTGATTTACCCTATTGTTGCAAACAGATTGCACATAATTGCCAAATTTATCCAATTCAATGTAGACTGATGGACTGACTGTTTGAGTTTCCATTTTAACACCAGTTGAAAATGGCTGCGAGAGGCTGCAGACTTCATCTCCGTCTTCTGTCATCTCTAACCACTGAAACATTAGCTTAAGTAATGTGATGGACAACAGAAATGGAAAATATTTCAATTAAAAAAAAAAAAAATCACAGTTCTGAAAGAAACAAAATGATTTGTTGCAGCATCTTGAAGTGTACACGAAACACTATGTGGATTTACACTTTGAAGCCCTGCTCGGGAAATGTAAATACATGTAACTCTGTCTGTGAAGCTGAAGTTAAGAACTCTGTGCTTAACATTCATCCATTTTCTTCCGCTTATCCGGGCCCGGGTCGCAGGGGCAGCAGCCCAAGCAGAGAAGCCCAGACCTCCCTCTCCCCAGCCACCTCCTCCAGCTTATCCAAGGCGTTCCCAGGCCAACTGAGAGATATAATCTCTCCAGCGTGTCCTGGGTCTGCCCCGGGGCCTCCTCCCGGTGGGACATGCCCGGAAAACCACCTCAACTGGCTCCTTTCGATGTAGAGGAGCAGCTGCTCTACTCTGAGCCCCTCCTGAATGGCCAAACTTCTCACCCTATCTCTAAGGGAGAGGCCAGCCACACTTCGGAGGAAGCTCATTTCTGCCGCTTGTATTCGCGATCTTGTTATTTCAGTCACTACCCACAGCTCGTGGCCATAGGTGAGGGTAGGGGCGTAGATCGATCAGTAAATCGAGAGCTTCACTTTTACGCTCAGCTCTCTCTTCACCACAACAGACCGGTACAGCATCCGCATCACTGCAGCCGCTGCACCAATCAGTCTGTCGATCTCTGGCTCCCTTCTCCCATCACTTGTGAACAAGACCTCGAGATACTTAAACTCCTCCACTTGGGGCAGGGTCTTGTCCCTGACCCAGAGTGGGCACTCCACCCTTTTTTAAAGTTATAGTTTTTGATTTTTAAGTACAGAATGTCACCGGGTTGGTTTGTTGGTAGGTTCCGCTCAGAGCCATTTAATGGACCGATAACTGAATAAGACTCAAAGGCTCTGAATGTGTAATTTTCATGAACTTCAACATTGTTCTCATCTATAAAATGCTTTACAAACCTGAACATTACAGCTAACAGGTGGATTTTTAGTGCAGCTGGCTGTAGCTCAGGTGGCGGAGCGGATCAGCCACTAACCAGAAGGTCTGTGGTTCGATCCCAGGCTGCTCCAGTCTGCATGCCAAATAACCTTGGGCAAGATACTAACCCCATGTTGCTCTCCGATGCATCCATCGGAGTGTGAATGTGTATGAATGTTAGATACTTAGCACTTAAGCTTAGAAGTGCTTGTGTGAATGGCTGTGATTGGGTGAATGAATTAGCTGTATAAAGCGCTTTGAGTGCTCAGACAGAGTGGAAAAGTGCTATATAAGAACCAGTCCAAACAATGATGACTCCTTTACTGCTAAAGACAGAGAGAGTGAAAGTGTAAAGAATATCTTTGGTTTGTTAACATAAAACTCATTGTTACAGCCAGGAGCAACACAAAGGTGATCCCCTTGGACTGAGTTTAGATTTAGTCCCTCATTTTCCTCTGAGTTATCGGTTCTGTCACTACTTAGCTAACATAAACTAATTTAAGTCTATTAGCCGCAAATCTCAAAGCTAAGCTGCAGAGACAAATCAATCAATAACCTTTTTATTTAGCAAAAACCTATTTTTTTTAATGCATGAACCAGTATTAGGATCTGTTTTCGTAAGCCCTTCATCAACTCAGCTGGTCTTCTGTAGAGAACCCACCAACGCAGGAACCACAAAGAAAGGCAGGATTTAAAGTGAGATCTGCTCCATTACTTCCTCTAATGTCCATTTAAGGCTCGCTCCAGATAGGAGTCGGTCCCCATAGACTTTGATGTTAAAATGTTTCATGTTAGAGCAGAAATAAATGCATTTAGATCCTGCTACAAAAAAACGGTTTGGGCCTCTGTGCACAATTATCCATTTTAACTACAGAAATTACACACAGGCTGATGCTCTCCAACACAAACGGTCTTATTTTTAGTGCTCCAAAGTCACTCTTTTTTAAACTGTGCAATTCAAATAACTTCACAATATCTGCTTTAAAACACTACATTAGCATTTATTTGTGCCAGGTTGGTAGGTAAAGTCACCCAGTGCGAGTTTGCAGCAGATAAAAACACATTACTGAGGAAAAACATTTTTGAAATATCAACTGAAGATTCACCCTGCGTGGAACTAAAACCTCCACCTTCCCCAGCTTCACCCTTTAAACCGCATATTAGAAAACCACACATGGTTGTACGCCTAGACACTAAAACCAGTCTGTTACACCTGCACTCACCCGGGCAAACACCCAACTAAAACAAGTCTGAGCCAGCCAGCGAGCAGGATTAAAGAAACGTGACCTGGAGTATCAGGGCCACATGGAGAGCAAGGTGCCAAAGAAAACCTGCACAGCTTTGTAGGAAAAAGAAATGGGACTCCTCGGAGTCATTCCCTGTGTGCCTTTTTGGGGAGTCTTTTCATTAGAAAGCGTTTAACTTACACAAAATGATTTCACTGCTGCCAGCTCTCTGTGCTGTCAGGCAGCCAAACGAGATTAAAAGGAATGTGCAGCGCCGCGGTACTAACCTGCCAGGTGGTGTTCGGTGTTTACGGCTGTTTTTGGTTTCTTTGTCCTCTCTCGGCCGGTCTGGACGCTGGATTAGACCTAACAGGGTTCAGTGTTAATGAAATGTGGCAAATCTAAGTCGACCGCCACCCCTCAATCCCCCAAGACGGAAGAGCGTTTCGGGAGGAAACCGGCAGCGGTTTCTTTCTGCTGCTCGGGCCAATCGGGCCAATCAAATATTCATGTTAAACAAAACCACAAACCGCAGCTCCGGTTCAGGGAAAAATCACGTCCGTGTCCTCGGCTCCGAATG